CATGGTGGTAGGGCAGGTGGGCTGGAGGCCCGTAGGCAGGGGGCAGGGCGCTGTAGGAGGGGCCCTCGGTCTTCATCATGGACTGCAGGCTCTGGTAGCCCTCTCCAGACATGTAGGAGCTGGTGGTGGACATCCCGGTGATGTAGCTGGAGGGTGGCGGTGGCGGTGGCCGGTGTGGCAGCGGCGGTGGCTGGTGCACAGGGGCCGGGTGGGCCGGAGGAGGAATCTGGACTTTGGGGAGCTCACTGGCATCCACGGGGCCTGGTGGCTCAGCCTCGCCTAAGGCAGCCGCGAGGGGAGGCTTCCGGTCTGGAGAGATGAGTGGAGAGACGAGTCAGTGCCCAGCAGCTCCACAGACCCCATCCCCACCCCATCACAGCACCAGAGTCTAACTAAGATCTACAGCAACCTGCCCAGATGTGGGCAATGTTCACACACTGGCAGGGCTGTTTTCCTAAAATTGATTCTAAACTCACTTTTCCTGGGTAGTTCTGCATTTCTGGATGTGACCAAATATACTTAGAATTTACAACGTCCTCAAAACATCTGTGTAAAAGTTTTCTGAAAGATCCTTGGTCGTTACTGTTTTAACATTTTGGCTGCAAAGTCTCCCTTCTATAAACTTTCCCTTAGACCTCCCAAGCCCGCCCTCAAAAAGGTAGAGAGAAAAGCTGGCACCCGATGGCTCTCAGCAGACACTGACCTGGTGGTGGGTGGGCCGGAGGCAATGGAGGGTGAGTGGTCTCTATTTTGGGAATTTTAGGTGGTGGTGGTTCTATGAAGAAAAAGATTAAAAAAGCACTCATATCTCTTCATGTAATAAACATATTATAGTAAAAATAAAACGGACTGTTCAGGAATTTCTTTGGGGAAAAAGAGCAGATAAGAACGTTTTACGGGTACTTGAGGAAGGCCTCAGCTATATCAGCATGCCCTGGCTCATTGGTTGAGCATTGTCCCATGAACTGAGAGGTCACAGTTCAATTCCCAGTCAGGGCACATGCCCAGGTTGCAGGCTCGATTCCTGGTAGGGGGAGTGCATGCAGGAGGCAGCTGATCAATGTTTCTCTCTCCCTTCCTCTCTCTAAAAATCAATAAAAAAAATCTAAAAACAAAATAATAAAATGAATCATTATGTACTAATCCTTTTAAAAGAAAAAAACAAATACAACTCTGATCTCCTACCTCCCCTCTAAAAAGAAAACTAACCCACTATCCCCTTTTCCACAAAGCAAGCCCTTCCAACAACTTGAGAGCAGCACAAAACCACTTCCGTGACCGGTGTGACTTGCTAATACACAGAACACACAGAAAGGCCCCGAATGCTCACAGGAAACCACTACCTTTTAACTCTTGTTTAGTTGCATTTCCAGTTTATTTTCTCTCACAAATATTTGCTCCATTTGGCATCCCCTTAGAAGTCACCATTACAGAACTGGAGGCGAGCGACCTACTTTAAGTGCACTTGCTTAAGCCAAGAAGTTGGGGCCACTTGGGGCAGAGGACACAGCCCACCCCTTCAGGGTCGAACACCTGCATGTGAACAGCATCCCCAGTGACGACACTAAATCGCACAGATAAGGCTACACCAAGTCCAATCGCTTCTATTTAGAAAGAGGTGTGCACACATGATGGAAAAAGAACGCCATCTTTTTGTTTGTATGTTTTGGCCCTTTCCGAAACTCACTTCATCTGGGCTTGCACATCACTGATCTGATTCTGCCCCGTATTGCTGATCACTTTCTTGGTTTCCTCTCTCAGACTTAGTCTGGATTCAAGGTGTGGGGACGTCTCTCCCTTTATCATCAGGGAGATGAATCGACGTCTCTAGCTTCTATCTCACCTCCAAAACCGGGGACCTGACTTTCAAGTCCCATCCCTAGATCCAGCAGCCAGCACCTCGCAGGCAGCCTTTTCCTCTATCTCCTGACTGGTATCCCTCTCACCTAAGCACTTCCTCCAACCTCCCTCCCACCGCCAGCCAAGCTAAAGCTATCCAACAGAAATATCAAAAGAGCCACCCATGTAATTTTTAGTTTTCTAGCAGCCATGTTCAGAACAGTTAAAATTAATTTTAATATTTAACTTGATATATAAAAAAATTGATTTCAATATTTAATCAACATAAAATTGACTAATAAGATTCTCTGCATTCTTTTTTTTTTTTTTTAGAGAGGTGGGG